CTTCTTTCCATTAGATTAATTCTTCAATAGCTTTATTACGTGCACACCCTGAAGTGCATGTGCATCCATTTCTCCGGAATTGTCGATATGTGTAAATTAGAAGTTGAATACCTAAATTTACTATGTACACGAGGAGAAATGGGGCATTTAAGGATATAAATTTTTTAATGATCGGGGAATTGGATCGATTAACCTGGTGCGATGTTTAGGGTCACCTTCGCTGTATACTTGCCCCTACCGTATCTGTGTTGGCATGTCCTCTCATACAAAGTAGTACTTCGTATATCGTAGATGGTATAAAAATTTGCATCAAATGTAGATTTTTTGATATCTGAAAATGTTCAAGCTCACATCTACTGCTCGTACCTACCGAATTTTCACAGTTTAGAATGGCCAATTAGGATTACTGGAAGTCAATCATTTTGTCTGGTTTCTCAGACCCATTTCGCTTTGGCTTTTTTTCCTATCAGCGTGGATCTACAACACTGGCACCTTTAATTGAAGTCATCTTAGTCATTGTTTACAGCAAGCATAATTGAAGTAGAAATCATACGTATGCAAATGGATTTGTTTAAAACCCCGGAAATTGACTTCATGTATTGGTGAATTTTAATTCATAGTAAGCCAAATATTTTAAGTTTTTGTCCAATCAAAGTGTCTGAAATCGAGCAGTATTTGTTCCCTGTAAGTTCGTATCTACAGGATCCGGTGTTCACTGATCAGATAAGTAATTGGGACAGTTGGTCTTACCACTTCATCAACTTGTTTATAGTGACCAGAATATTAAGGTGAAAGTGTCATTATAATTTTGTTAGGCGAACTCACAATTGATGGCATAATAACTATGTGTACCGCCAATATTTTGGTCACTGATTGGATGAAAGCTAGATTTCTAAATAGATACTTGCCGCATTAGCTAAAAATAGCGATGGAATGTGATGGTGCATACGCATCATCCCTTCTACAGTACTAAATCCGCGTGTTTTTTTATACGTTTATATACACAACATCGGCATAGAGGTTGCATATGGGCTATGTTATGGTGTCTGAAATTTTTTGTAGACGATTCCGTATTTTTTTGCCGGATTGGTTTCGTACCAAAGTGTTTTTAACTATGCAAATATTACCTTTGTGGATCTATAGCAATAATCTGGAATGGGGTTCATACTTTGAACTAATTGATTTACCGTGGTCGGGTTATCGATATTATTACTATTATACAGCACCTGATATCCGCAACAACGCAGATCGAAATCTTTAACCTTTTAGTTTGTAGCTCCTTTTAGAATAGCCTAAATTGTGGAAAATTATTTACAAATTTTATTATGCATGAAGCATCATAAAATAAGGAATAGCAGAATGGTCAAAGGAAGTGTTAGAGAATTCAAATCATACCATCCAAAATCTTACGCACAATTTTTTTCTAATGATCACAATTCATTTCTTCTTGTTCGATGTTTTGAAACTTCGGAATCCGATCATTAAATGCCGAGTGGATAGTTAATTGGTCATTCACCTTTCATGGACTGGGTGTTCGGGATAAAATTGAGTTTTACTAGGAAAAAGTGATTGGTATTTACAAAATTCGATTGAATTAAGAGAACTCCAGTAGACAGGAGAATCGTTCTATTATCAAAGAGGTTTTCGTGAAATAACCACCATTGACATTCATTTTTGAATTTTCACCACCATACATGTGCCATATGTTTGGCTACTCATTTTTCCCAGGGGTTAACTACTACAGTCATAGATAATTTCAAGTAGGCATCAGATTTCAGTATAAGTTCATTTTAAAAACGTGAGGATCGTCTAATCATCGTCGAAGGAGAACACATCCGAGAGCCATGATACTTTGAGGAAAAGTAGTCCGTATGACTCTAGGAGTGCCCTTCGAATCGTATTTAAGCCAATTTCTCTTTTATTATGTTATTTTCTATTAGAAAACGAACTAGTTTCAATTTGCCCATAGAATTCTTCGCCATTGTCAGTCTGCTTTTATAATCCTTTTCGCATGGAACTGAGCTCTGGATAATTGAAATGCTAGTAGTATTAAAGATATTTAATTGTTGAGGTTGGAAAATCCAATTACCTGTATACACAAATACTTAATCCCGTGCTATGTTGTTCTTACACCTCTATGCGAAGGCAGTCATTTCGTCTGTTATTTTATTTGCTTCCACAACCTTGTAGTCTTCATTGCGTTTCTCTATTTCATGCTGGTTTGCTTTCATTGTGTTCAAGAAGCCTCGAGCAACAATCATAAACTCCTTATTTTGATAATCGATACAAGTTATCCTCTTCCATGACTTGGGCTGTTTCCAGTTATCATTCTCTTTGTCCATTAATGGAGAAGGCGTAGTGTGAATGATATCTTCAAGTTGTTTTCGCTTTCTGGAAGTTCGTATACCTTCACCACTAACTTTGAAATTATTTTTTCTTGCCATGATTTGACATTTCTCCCAGACTCTTACATTTCTGCCAGTAGATTAAACTGTCGATATAGTTTTCGGCCTCTTTGTGTGTTTCCCCTCTTTTTATAGCAAACCTCTGCTGAATTTTTTGCCTGATTCATTTGTTGAAGAAATAAAGATCGCTTAGTAAAAATATTTTTGGCTCTAAAAAATGTAGCATTAAATTGATCTGTAGAATCCCATTGAGCATCGACGAATGGGTGCATTATTTCGCTTTGAAATATTTTTTTCAATTGTTTCAACTCTTAAGATGTTTATTATACCTTGCCGAATAGGAGAAAGAGGAAATGAACAAAATAATTAAGAGAATTCACTCTGTGATGTCTTATCTTCACAGTTAGACTCTCACTTTCATGGGCGTGATTATTTAGAGCTAATTTGACTGTTGCTTGAAGTTCGTGGTTGTTCTTATCGTGCTCAGTTGTAAGTTGGCTAAAATTTTGCCATCAAGTTGAAAAGCAGCCTTTTATACTTAACTTCACCTACTGTGTTTTTTGTTAATATTGTGCTTGAATCACTCGGTCCTCATTGATACTAATAATCGTTAATATACTCCCTTTTCTTATTATTTCAGCATCGGCTACCCTGTTGTTACCCTGGGTTTCGGGTTGAAGAGCCTACTTACACACCAGCTGCGTTTGGTAAGTCCTCCTTGTGAGTTGCAGCATACTTTGCCCATGTCCTTTCTTAGTATGCGAGGCCTGCCTTTCTCAAAGTAGTGTCTCATTTTTCTCTTATGCTGCCGCTGTCACCGTTATGTCAGTGCTTTCGACTACGGGAACCAATTAACTCGCTTTCATCGTGCGTAGTCTTTTGCCTTCCTAAATGACTATTTGAGTCATAATTTTGGATGACTCATAGATTTAGGGACTTTGTAGTTCCGCATGCAGCGTAAAACACTAAATACGAATTGTCACCGCATCTGAAGTTTTTTTTGCGAAAGTTCTAAGGTTCTTTTCGCTTTGCGATTAAATGGGTCGTTTCGTTTGAATTTTCTCTTGAACCTTCTTCATTTGTATGTTAGATTGAATTTCGAATTTACTACTTCTTACTCTTCTTCTTTTTTCTCCCATATTTCTTTGCTTTATCGTAAATAGTTATGTGCATAAGCTCTATGCAATTAATTGCCGTTTTAATTAGTTTTTCTCTTCAGTTCACTTAGTCGATTAGGGCTTATTCACCCAACTTCTTTTATGAATTACTATTAAATTCATAATACACCACGTGCCTTCTAATTGTTTAAATTATTGCGAAAAGATGGAGTATGTACGCGATTTTCCTATTATCCTTCTAGATGGAAACCAAAGAACTAAAATCACACACTGGTTTAATCCACTTAAGCCAGTCGTATCGCTTTAATTGTCGATTTCGGCTAAAAATCCAAAAATACCCACAAAGTAGCGGTAGAAGGGGAAGACAACTTTAATTGTGCTACAATATACAATTTCTTTGGACAGTTTGCGCACTACACAACTTTTTTCCCACTTAGTCGGGTTAAACCCTGATTTTAATACATTATTGAAAAGTAACACTAAACAAAATTTTTATGTCGTCAAGGCGTAAATTTATACTTATTGCTTACTTTTATTTCCGAAGAAGTGTCATAATGAATTGTCTCGGTGACTAGATCAATAGGCGAGGGAGTTGTTAGAAATGTGTGCTATGAGTTAATTTTATAACTGCTTTCCCACTAAGCTTTATTATGAATACGATGAATCATTTTTTCCTGAATGGCTATAAAAGTAGGGTCTAAATCACTTGTGCAACATAATGCACCGTAATAATGAGGGCAGTGCGTTAACTTACGAAATAATTATCAGACATCTAGTGTACTGCTTCATTAATTAACTGTTTTGATTAATAATTATTATTTTTAATATAGTGCTTCAAGGCCACTTGGCGATATCAGTACCTTAGACTTTCTTCTGAGCTAAATTTTGGTTGTTTAGCTTCCATTCCTTTCGTTAACTGAGCGCCAGCGATATGTGAAAAAAAATCAGTTCTTTGGTTTCCATTGCAATTCCCCGAGAGTGTATAATCTTGAGGAGTCGCTAATTCTTTGCAGCATTAAGATTGTTAAAATTTTAGTTGTCTGTGTTTTAGTTTGCGATGCATAACCATTCACGTGGTTTAGTAAATAAATTTGTGCGTATGTAATTTGAGTTTTCTTATGTAAATCAGCATGTACTAATCATCTCATCTCTAATGCAAATCTCCCTACGGCCCTACAGAAATTCTCCTACAATATCGATATAAGTAGAAGCAATTTAACATCCTTATTTACGTACTATGTTGTTTCAATACATAACCACTCAGGCGCTAAGATGCTTCTTGAAAGTGGTTGAGCGCTCGGAGTAACTATGTCGCTACTGCTAAAGATGAGCTCATGGGAACCACAGAATCAATCACTGTATGCCTAGTAGATGCGTGAGTTTCTCAATGGGGATAGTTTTAGCCTTTTCTTGTAATATGTGATGATGCATTTTCGAATGCGACTCATCTTTTATCATTCACTTTCGCCCTATATACATGACTATACGTGGCTTTGTTTGCTTTGTTTATGATCTTATTCAATTTCTTTTAGCGACGGCAAAGCCAAGTGGAGACACACAACTCGAAGTACTTTTGCCTTCTGGACCTTGCACTTCCCGAAGAGGCTAGGGCTCTTAATCGGAGGGGTATGTCGCACACTCTTTAATTTATTGATTTTGGGAAAGATAAACTTATGTATTCCCTGTGTCTAGTTACTTTCAAAATCAAGGCAATATTTAATATTGATAGGTAAATAAACTGCGCATGAAGAAACATATAAATCGCTTGAAGAAACTAATTTATGCTTTATAAATTAACGTTTCATTAGGATGCAAATTGCGAACTAATGAGGTCAAGCGTCTTCTTGCTGTGTCCCTACTTGCAAAAGCTTGTCTGTGCCATTTGATCTTTTTGATTACCTGGCCAACCTGATCGGCCTCCTCTTTGGCTCCACCAGCAGAAACTAACTTAGTTACTGTGACAACTAAAGGGCGCTGGCCCAATTAAATCCATTGGTTTTCGAGATATGTTGGAACATTGCTGGAGTTGATAATAGTGAATACTTTAAAAGAATGTGTGTAGCTTAACTGTGATTTACGAAATATTTAGTGGGATAGTGGTTATTTTTTATTAGAATCAAGTCTCCCTGCGTCTGCCATTTTTCCTTTATGAGTTTGAAATCCCACTGTATAGCTATTTAAAATCTTTCTCTTGCTGTGACTTTTAAGGTCTATCTTGCCCCCAGTGCTCTGTCAGGCTGAGGGAAATAGGCGGAGTCAATGTTATCAAAATTTTAGAATATCTAGTTTATTCTTCTCCACAATGAAACAAGCGACCGGAAATCAGGATGTCATATGCACTATCGTCTCTAGTTGATTTGTCTGTCAAGTAATTTATATCTGACTTGAGTTGTTTGATTTTTCTCCGTTACTAGTACCTTATTACCAACCGAGAAACAATAGTTCTTGTTTCATCACTCTGAATTAGGGAGTGCGTTTTTGGAACGATCAGAAGGAGATAAATTCTCCTTGAATAGCAAGTTTGTCAAACAATAATGATTTATTTTGGTGAGGCTTACTTTTTTGGCCAAACATTTGTTCCATCGGTTGCACGTGTGTGTCTCCTTGGCATAATCTGAAAGGAAATATCTGACTCTTTAAAAAGGTTATATCTGCCGGCATGCTTTATAGAGATAGCAAGAGAGATAATTGACACAGGCAACAGAAATGTTTGGTGCTATCACTTGCTCCAAGTGGAGCAATAAAACTCCGCATGAAAATGTTCTAACTCCACTGATTTTTCTTGATATAAAGCTATTTTTAACTTATAGTCCATTTCACATTTAAAAATTGTTACTCTATTAGCCTGTACCAGTCTGCTAATAATACCTATCTAGAGGTCTACGAAACACTGTCTGGCGTGTTGACGGTCCTTCTAGCATTTCGTCAATGAAGTTTATCTTTATTTCTTTGGGGGAAGGGAAAAGAGTAATTCACCATATTATAAAAATGCATCTGATCTAGTATCCTACAATACACTCCACAGCAGTTTTTCTAGCAGCTTCTAATTTGTGAAATCTCTGAGACATTTTGATGTCTCACAAATAAATAACAATAAATTTAAGAAAGTGTCAATTTGAGTATAAATGACATGAGGTGCTCTCAGTAGTCTTATGTTTTTCTTCTCTTCATTTTCGAAGCTAAAATTTTTGACTCGCACTTCCTAGCTTTGTATCACAACATTTAAGGCTATATTTTATTTTGGGGGTGTCTAGTTCGGTGACCACATCTGTTCGAACTCAGCAATAAGAGAAGAAAGCCAGCTTTGGCGAATTAAATGCCTCAAGAAACCGTTGGTCTTGTCCATATTTGCTAAGACCATGGCCTGCGTATACACCAAAGGTCTGACAACTGCTGAAATGCACTAATTAATAATTACAAGTTAGTGATGGTGATGTTAGTGGGCTTAGTTGACTATCTGCACTTATCGATGCTGATGAATCAGCTGCAGATTGGGCGAACAGTGCATTTGCGCAAATCATCGGCTAGGCAGAGCTATTGCCGACAATCAGGCTTTGCGGGTTTGATTGGATTTCTTCAGTATTCTTAATTAATCTTAAATACACTCGGCTACTTTCTAATACGGCTTCCAATGGAAAACCAAATTTATCATTTGGTCCTTGCGCTTAATAGAGACATATTTATTTAATGTTGGCAATAAAATACGATTTTGACATAGGGATGTAAAGCTATTGTTGGTGTTGGATTTACAGAATTGCATTGAGAGTGAAATGTGAAGCGATGATTCGTAAGCAGCATTGTTTGTATTTAAGAGACTCGCGTGGGTTTATTATTACGTTTATTGGTAGCAATTGACTTGGCTTTCATCATTGAGAGTTTGAAATTTCTTTCAGTTCCATTTTCACCTATTTCACAATCAATATCGGTTTCGTTCAACAGCAGGCAAATGGTTGCATCTCAAATTGTTCACTATTTTTACATTTTTGCGCCTTTCGGTTACTTAAACGAGATAACAAGAAATCAAGTAGTGGGTATGTGGTGAAAGATTTATGAAAAAAGTAACAAAATTTGAAATGTGTTATGATCTGCATATTCTACATTCCAAACAAGTGTCTTATGATTCTCATTGAGTGGCCTTTTGAATGGTCGTTTTGGCTGTAATTTAGGTGAGTTGGGCAACGGTCAGTTGGCAGCGATGGGACCACTCACCAATGCCAACCATACAACACCAGCGACCAATTCAACCTCACCAAATAACCACAGCAACACAGGCACCAATTTCCCGGCTGTGACATCTTCCAATGCCAACTCCAATGTGACTGCCTCTTCCTCAACGAAGAACTCAAAGAAACAACAACAGCAACAGAATATTGCCAACGGAAAGGCCTCTGGAGCTATTGTTGCCTCCTCTTCATCAACTTGTGATCATTCCCCCGCTTCTACGATTAACCAAGCTGTATGTCGTTTTCTACTTTCTCATTAAAACATTTTGCTACTTCTACTTTGATTTAACCTACGACCTACACAGGTTAGAGTTTAACTTCAAAATATTTCATTATTCTAGTAAATTTTTGCGCGTACAAGCTAAGGTTTCTTTGTTATTTGATTGTTGAAGGCTAACCCACTGTCTGACTGATGATGTTTTTACCTGTCAAGCCGCTAAGGGCCTCCCACACCCGCATGATGATGGAGGGTATAGGAACCGCTACCTTTAGTTGGTTTTTTGTTCCTTTCTGTTATTCAAACGAGTTTTCATATTTTTGTAAGAATGATAATCTCAGAGCTTCTGTTTTTATTGGGAAAAAATGTAAAATAACCGTTTATTTTGTAAGTTTGGTTTGTCTCAGGGTGAGTTAAGAAAACTTTGACAATTTGTAGCTGGCTCATCGGTAAAAAATTTCCAACTGATTGGCGTATTGAATGCAGATGCAGAAGTACACTATCAGATTAAAACAAAGACTCAAGCAACGATGCGTAAAACTGAAGAGCACGTGTTCTATAATGGTGCTGGGTATTTCAAGGAACTGCCTACAGATGTTGAAAAACTGTTTGAATTTCAAATAAGACTTCATTCCATAACTGTCCTTTTATTTTAGTGTAGCACGTTTAGTAACAAATCGTTGGCCAATAATTCACCATTGATGTTTATCAGTAAGAATGGTAATCAGATAACCAGGATACAAGCGGGTTTTAAATGGAAGCACTGCTAAACTTACTCAATCGAATAGTATCCCCAACGCAAAGGGATAAAAATCCAGTCTTGCACCCCTGATTATCATAGTATGTGGGCTTTGGAGTATTTTATACTCATCTACTTCAATTTTTACTGATTAGAAATGTTATTTGTTTTAATTGGAAGCCTGTAAGCCTAAAGCTCATGTCCTCCGCGATCATATTTTGTCTCGGGTCAGTCAGATCCCATTGTCCTCAAAACGACCAATTGCCCTTATCTACCAATACACGGGCTCATATCAGTCTTGACAACTTAACAGTTATCTGAGTCGAAAAACTCCAAACGTAAGCAGCTTAAAGACCACCTGTTTTCCACTATAAAGCCCTTTCTTGGTTTATCCAGTGCTTTGGAAGAATGAAATTTCTTCTTACCTGTCGTTTTGAGTTCACTTTAGCACTGCCAGTGTCCGGTTGGCAATTAGTTTGTGTCCTAAGTCAGACTTAATAGTCGTTCTTTACAGAAGGATTTATCTAAGTTAAGCCTACGGGAGAACTGGTTAGGCGGTTAATCGTTGTGTGTACTAATTTAAATGTCTCCTGAACTGCTCTAGCACGGCAGGGTAATTTTCCCTTATTTTTATCAAATCCACTTAATTTTGATATACAATCCTCTGTCAACTCATTATTCCATCCTACTCACCTTACTATTTCGTAGATGTGACAATCGTTGATAAGTTTACTATTTCTTAATAAGGTGCCCCAATGACTGTCATTTACCTGCAGTTTATGCCGTTTGGCTATTTTTATGGGCTGTGCGTATTAGTCACCCTTTAATACCGACTCAAACACATAGCAAAGCTCAACGGAATTTATCCACGATTATCCCTTTAGGCTCAGGTCATTTTCATTGTCATTTTCTCTTACGCGTGAAGTTTGACGTTCGTATTATTTTCTTACTCCTTTTTTTCTCATTGTAGACCACAGACAAAAAAGTATTTCCACTTGAAGGAAGCGACCAACACCAGAATCAGCAACTTGTAGGTTATTCAGGAGAAGGGATCTCTTCAAGTTGTTCTTCCCTCTCTGGTCAGGATGCTCCTCCCTCCACTACAACCGTAGCAGAGACACGAGCAGGCGCCAAGCGGACACCACCAGCACCGCTCGCTCAAATCACCTCTTCCGCCTCGAACCACAACCGTTCCAAGGGGAATGACAAATCCTCTCGAACTGGCAAGGATTCATCTGTTTATCGGTGAGAACAGTTACTAATAGTGTTGATACTCTCCACTAATGACTGGAAGTGCAAAGGTGTTAGGACTAGTAGCTAAGTATCTTGTTTTGGTCTCTAACTATTCTACGGACTGTATATTAATCTTCGCTGTTACAACAGAAAAGATATAGCTCAAAGGGTAGAGAAAGATACTGTGTGTATGCTATGTGTGTGAACTGATTGCGGATGTCGAAGTAGTTCGTATGTACAAATCTATTATATATGGGTCAAATGCACTTTTAAACAAATTGCTCAAACAACATAGGAGTTATGGTGACATTCCTTAGCGCGCGTTGCGGCAATTCTGTCTGAATCGATCTAATGGATTAACTCCTGGCAACAGTGACTGTCCCCAACGCATTACTTGGGCGTGGCTATCCCAGTTCATGTAAAATATCAATGAGAATATGAGGCCACTACAAGTACTCGTAACTTTTCACTGGGAAGGCGAGAGCTTTCAGTCTCCTCTTGAGAAGAAAGCAGTGATGTTTAATGTTTGATTGCCACTGTAAAACACGGGAAATCAATCCTACTCAGTCCACTATGTCTTAAGGAAAGTTTATCACGTGAACCAGTATTAAGAGCACCGGTGTCGCATTTATCCATATTTATTTAACAACTAACAATGGGATATGTGCGCCCATCCCCAAACTATGTATGACTATTACTTCTTGACGAGAACAAAAGGAGTTACATGACCAAAATTCAATAGGGGTGCAGAAAGTAGACCCTTCGGTCCAGCGTAGGGGCTTTTCAGGAGTAATATTGCTAATTGCAATGACACGCCACTCAACGTGTTGGTGTATCTTTACACTTTATCCCCTCTTAATACGTACGTTCAAACAGTAATGTTATTCCTATGTGGTATTCCATAACGTATACACTCTGAATTCGAATAATTCTATTGCCTTCATTTGATAAGCGGATAGTATTCTAAGGATTTCATTTCGTCTATTAGTGCTTGTACTTCAAGGCATTAAAATTGAATTTAAATGGAGAAACATCACCTGATTAAACTAGACAGTTTGTCGGGGCATGTTCATTCATGTATTCTATTTTGTTTTCCGTTTATTTGCAGTTAAATTTACTGTTGCATATATCAATGTGCAAGTAAGTTCAATTGAAATTGATCGTATCCCTGTCTACATGTTTTATAATTCGGTCAATAAATTTGTGTTCTTTCTCAATCTGGCGCTTATGTAGAAAAAAATTATTCGCTTGCAGAATTGACAGTTATTAAATGTGATTAGTCTTTGGACAACTATTTCTAACCCCATACTCTTCAATTTTGTTGGTATTGAATAATTCTCTTCTATTCCTCCACTTGTAGAATGGAAGATGAATTACGACGGCTTCGGCATGAGCGCCAAAGTATGCTGGTAACAGAGTCCGAACTGCGAGCCCAATTAGCCCAACTTACCACTCTGGAACGCACTTCACGAACCGAGACTAACCAAGCGCGACAGGAAGTCGAGTTTCTCCAATCAAAGCTCTCTACGCTCACTCAACGGCTTGAGGTAAGCTCTCTCTCCGCCGCACTGCCATTAAAATATCAAATCATGACCTCAGAGACTATAAAGTTTTTATGAATGTGCTTTTACAGCTTTATCAAATAGAATCCCGTATGTGACTTATAATCGGTGTACAAAGTGTGGTTTTTTTAATTATTATCCGCTTGGCACTTAAGTTTCTATGCGGGTGGGCCTCAGTTTCTCAAGGGTATCGTTTCTATTGCGAGCATCCTTGTCTTCGCTAATTGCATATAATTACAGAATAATATTAATCGAGTCTTTTAGCTTTCCTAAGCCCAATGAATCCGTAGATTTTTGTAGAATGTTCTTTTTATTACCGTATTAACTTACGCGCTTATTTACTATCTTTTTATTCCAATTGGTTTTTAACGGTCGGATACATTGTTTATATAGTACTTTCGAGAAGTTAGTAGTCATTTTTATGAATGGGATATGTAAAATCCGTTCACCAATCACGTGTTTTGGTATAGTAAAAATAGTGCAGTTTTGTTGTTGTTTGGATGGGGAAATGTCTAAGCACATGTACCGGAAGCATAAATTTATCTTTTCCTAGGTTCACCCATATTTGCACACACTCTTAGAAAAGTCACCTATCTATTGGTGGAAAATCGCAACACAACCTCCTTTCTTCTAAACTTTCTATTATGGTCATTCCGAACTCAAGGCTGCTTTGAAAAATGCAAACTAAAGTGTTAAGAGGAGAATTCCAAAATACTTCGGAGGTAGTTATTAAATTCCACTGGCATCTCTGCAGTTCATTAGAATTTAAGAGCTGCTCATTCAATTCCTAGCCTCAATACGACCTACAAATAAGCTATCATATTGTCTTCTTATTAAACACTAAAATGAATGCACGATGCCAATATTAATGCAATGATTTATGTTCCAAGTAGGTGGGCTCTGTTGTGGGCGCGCAGACGGGTATCCTCGTCTCTCTGTTGTTATCGTTACTTTTAAGATGTGGCTTCATTTCGCATTTCCTTTTTCCTTGTTGTTGGTGCTCCCATTATGTCATTTTCTTCCTCCGTCTTAGATGATTTACAGTTATAAATGTTACTGTCCGATGCTAGCTATTTACCATTCAAGAAAGCGGTCATTGGAGGCGGTTATTCTTTTTCCTCTTCTAAATTTTATGTCAAATTCAAATAGTAGGTGGTCTCCGCATAATGGATAAGTGATGCAGTATTTTTTTCTATTTCATCCATTTATCTTGGTGCCCATGAAAGTGTCATTGCACTCAAGTGTAATATTGATAAATATTTATTTGCTGTGCGTACCAATACTAACTTTGGTTAAATTTTAACCTAATGTAGTGACAACTCCTTAATAAGTCAGATACTTCACAATGATGTACGTGCTTGTGGCGTAATGGTCACGAGACTGATGCTCCTTCTATTTTGTAAGCCTTTTCCCCTCCTTGAGGTTAACTGGCTACTTTTGTCTTCTCTCCATCTGTAGACAGAGCGTGATAACTTGCAAGCGGCGGAGAAGAAGGCTGCAGAAGAGAAGCGACAACGCAGCAGTTTGGAAGCGAGTCTGGCAACAGAGAAACGTGCGCGACGAGAGGCTGAAAATGCGTTAAAAGCGGCTGCTGTAGCCAGCCCTTTTGGGCCTATTTCTGTCAGCAGCTCCTTTGCCAGTGGCGGCGCCTCCACGGGCGCTTCCAACACCAACAACAACAACGCATCTACCCCCATTAATTCCAAGTACTTTTGCCTCACGTATTTTTATGTTTTTTCCGATTTTAATCTACTTTATTAGAACCTGTCTCCTTTTTTTATCTACTCCGAGGCCTCACTTACATTTGTATTGATCTCTCAATTTGCCTGGTATGCTATGGTCACAAGGAATCTATGCTATTTTTAAGATTCAGCTTATGAACTGATTCAAGTAGGTCACTCAAAACAGCCTCACCGTTCTTATTGATGAGCTTTCTATTTGACAATAAGATGTGCTAGATTTGTCTGGCATTACTAATCCAAGTTTTTTTTCTGGCCAACATGTATGCGTCTATTAAGGGTGTATTCTAGTGTTTCTCCCTCTTAGTCAAGTTTTATTTGTACTTTTATTTTGAACATGAGAATAGGGGTTCTAAATGTTCATGGTCATGGTCGCAGGTATATGTTGTTTACTAATTTTCTAAATCTACCGAACTTGTCGGAACGGGATTAGTGAGTTAATATGTGTCTTATTTTTTAATGGGACCATTATGCAACGTAGCCTACCAATGTCGGGACTCGAACAAAATTATATATATATATATATATATATTTCTGTGATCAGTAACTGAGGCTTAACTTTCGCTGGCTCAACTTTGTGCACACTATTTTTATTGGCCTAAGCTCCATTAATTTCACTGCTATCTGCTTCATTTAATGCATTTCAACCCCCCCCCTTGACCCCAAATATGAATTTTTTGTTTTTATGAGTTTAACACTACTTAAAATGCACACTTGACAAGCGCATTGAGTCTCCTCCCTTGTGATAGTACAGATACTCCCTTCATTATAAGTATCTGGGTTTATTGGTTTTTTTCTTAATTTTGATTTGATTATTCTTGAACTACCTTAGACAGCTTTTTGAGTGTTTTTTGCAACCTGTTTTAAATTGCTTACACTAATTACTGAGAATGTGCCTGTTTTTTTGGGGAAAACAAATTGAAATTAAGGTTAGCATTAAATGAGCGGTCCTATTATTTTTATTATTAATAAACACTACGTTCAGATGGTGAATTGGTCATTCTTCTTCAGTATTCTTTCCGTTAGTTTTCCTTTGTCGACGAGAGATTGCATGCGTTCAATTAAACTGGCACCACCAGTTTAGACTATAGAGCTGGCAAAAGCGCATCATTTAAAAGATGTCAAGTTGTTGATCATTTGATCACATTCATTTATTTATCATGTCATTCTGCTTCACTTGTACCTTCTCACATGTAGGTAGGTGAGGCTAACACGGTCTTTTTAACAATACCTAAAGTGGATTAATCTTGGTTGCAAAAGGTGGTTGCATGTTCGTGTGCACTATTTAAAAATTGGAATAGTATGCAAATGAAATTGCACAAGTTTCCGATATGCACTTGAAGGATTTATGTTTTTCATATTCTTTGCAAGTGATTGCCTGCCGTAGAGCTTATGCAATGACCTTCAAGTGGATTTTCTAGATTAATTCACCGCTCGAGATGATATTTATGATCTTTCAAAACGGTTGAATACTCATGGAAATAGTTTGCCAATTTATCGTAATTGGATTAAATATCTCACGGTTATTGCTAATTTAACCGATGCTGTTTTATAATGGAAGTCAATTTGTACAATCATTTGCATTTATTCATCCCAATTTCGTGCCAAATCGTCATGAGAACTTATCGATAACTTCTTCCTCTGAAGTTCCACGATTTATTAATGATTTGATCGCACCTATTTCACATGCGACGTAAGTGATTTGCTGTCAGCTGTATTAACTTTGGAGTGTATTAAGCTTAGGTAAAGAGAGTCTTAATGCAGCTAGAATTCTAAATATTGTCTATGACCTTTTCCTTTACGACCATCATCGCTCCTTTCAATTCACGGGAGATCCTTGGAAGTTGAAGTGTCCAATTTAATTCTACAAAATCACGACTCTGACTTTAATATAAAACTGATTGTTTAAATTTCGTATCAAGGATGCGACTACGAATTATAGGAATTTGATGGTACGATTTTTCTTGGAAAGGGGTTTATTTCTTTATTTCTTTCTCCATTCACAACTGATAACTCAAGGTACGGCTTTTATTCTTTTATGCTGTCTATGATTTCACCAATGCTTGCTCCCAGTTTTTTAATTCTCGATTAAATCCACTTGTTGGGCACGATCTCCGGCTTAGGAGAAATGTTCACAACACTTGATCTGGGAGGCGTTCGTTTAGTCATTACTGAACTTATGCTGTATTCTAGCTTTAGGTGCATCTATTCCAGTTGAAAGTAGTTTAGTTGTCTGTAGTGTTGTAGAGTGTACAGTTCCACGAATCTGTCCCTTTCATTTCACTTTCATATTTAATCGAGTACTTATGTTTGTCCACTTTCTCTGCACAAGTATCTTTCAGCTGTGTTATGTATGCGTTATCCCTATAAATAAATATAAATCATCCTGCCTGTTTTTGGTGTTTGGAAGTCAAAACACATCGAAACGATCATTGGGTATATCTCGAACAACTGTCAGAAGTTTCTTGTCCAGAGACAAGACATGATATGCATTTTTGTGTTTTGTTTTCTCGCCTTCTTATCAAATCATTGTTTTGTTTTATCTTCTGCAGACTGTTGGGAAAATCTGGGTCGGGTATTGGTCCCGTGGGGAGTGGAAGCAGCAGCAGTAGCAGCAATAACCCTCGTTCTCTCTGCGCACCCAACGTTAACCCTAATGCTAGTGCACTCGGTCTCAGCAGCAGTAATCGATGTACTTCGGACACTTGTACTCACAGAATTCATGATTTGGAATCGCGTGTGAAGTCCCTTACCCGTGAACTAAAGGATGTTCAGATGCTCAATGCCACTCAGGCCAATCTCCTCAAACAGCAACAGTCCCAACAACAACATCAAACTAGCGAACAACTCACCGATCTCATGCTTCATCTCAATGATGTAGAGACTGAGAACGCCTGCTTGAAGGCCAAGCTCAAGAATGAGGACAAGGTGAAGCAAGAACTGTTGGCTGGCTACCACAACTCTCTTAAGGAGATTACTGAGCTCAATGGTGAGCTCAAACATTTAATTTGTTATTTATTGGGTAAAGAGACCGTTTAAATATGTACATTTTGACTTGCATCTCACCTTAACTCAAATTGCTGCTGAAAGTGGTATTGGATTATTAGGGGAAGGGGTGGGGGGTTCTTGTTGAAAATCAGCTCAGGTGGAAGACTATTTGTTAGCGTGGTCCATTCCCATTTACTAAGGCCTAACGGGATACTAACACCTAATTAGTTTTAAAGTGCAATGTTGTGTGGGAAGTGCACTTGTATCGCAACTATTTTATATTTTACTACAGAAGACTCCGTGATCTAAAAGTCCTTATTTATTAACATAAACTAGATAAGGCCAGGAATTATGAAAAGCATCAAAGCCCATAAGATGTATGGGTGGTATAGACTAGGGAGTGAATCATTTGAAATGGAACAAGTAGGAGGGTTGAGAGGAAGTGGAGATCCATCACAATCCTTCACCTTGAGCTCAGTAATCGTCTTGATCTAGTCAATAATCCCATCGATTTCCCATGCTCGGCTCCTCTATTGGCTGCGATTCAATTTCCGATGTTCCTGGCTTAAAATGCAGTATGGAATCAACACTTTGTGAATATACAAAATCGATTATGGTGGATCCTATTATTGGTTTACCTTTTATCAGATCTCTTACAGTTTTGAAGACTTTAATGCACTGGCAATTAAACATTTTTCTGATACCTTCATTTCTCTAATTTATGCATTTATTCTTTTTTTAATTTCTAGCTACGTTGACAAGAAAAGAGTACCAAATTGTGGATCTTTACATGAGGTTGGATTCAATAAACCCTAATAGCCCGTTCCATTGTCTGATCAATAATAGCGTTCCACAAGACAACCCCGTCTCCTCTCCAGGTCCAGATGGCCGAGCGGGTAATTTGAGAATTCCCTGCTCCTCCACAAATACTTTCATGAATCCAACAACAAGCGGAGGCAGCCTTTTCCCCCCTTCTGACTTTGATTTCGGTGTTGGCAGTAGTTGGCCTCCACCCCAATTTCCCGGCACCTCGTCGTCCACAAACACTTCCATAGCATTTTCTGATCAGCCTCTTCTCCATTTCAATCAGCCTCAACTCCCCCAACCTTCACGTTTACGATCAGAGAGTACCAATACGGTGTTTTCTGCTTTCATGAATAGAGGAGGCCCACATCAAGAGAAGAACACAATCCCATCAACACAATCGAGGTTCGATGTGAATTCAGCAGAGGTGGACTTGGAAGCAGCGTCAAGTAGTCTCTCTCCAACGGAGTTTCTCTCCAAATTGAGGAGTCAACTGGCTGCAGCTGCTGGAAATGGGCAGTTGCCGCAGTCATCTCAACCAACAAGCCAGCCTGCTCCAATTAGTCCACCATCAAGAGATATATCAGGGGGAATCTCGTCATTGCCGGTTGGTGGTGGTATAGGTGAAGAGAGGTCAGAAGAAAGTAGCCCGTTGGATCATCAACAACCAATGGGAGATGGCGACACAGGAGGAAGCGGAGGTGTTGAAGGGTTACCCGGAGTTGATAGAGTGGAGGATTAGTGCATGGGGCTTATAAAACGCACCCTGCTGCTGCATTTCTATCCTCTTCCTCTCTTAGCTCTCTTTCTTGTTCTCCCCTTCCCCAATTGGCGTTCATGTGTCCCGTTCGCCAGCACTAGGTGCAATTACTTAAGAGTGATGGTGAACGTGTGCGCTCTTTCTCTGTTCTCTCTATTACCGCATACCCTACATTTATCAAAACGAGCGAGACGAATTCTTCAATAATATAAGGTTTTATCAACGAGCTTTGTCTCGTATGTTCTACTTTCGATGGGGTAGTGGAAAACCTATGAGTTGCCAAGGATTGAAAAATTCTTAAATTATTGTTATTAGTAGTTAAGAAAAAGGCTGAATGCGTTGAGGAATGTGGGAGTTGAAAAAAGATAGTTAAGGACAACGCTTCCGTAGGTGATATTTGTGCCAAAGCGCTTATGCTTTTAGCGGTTGTTAGTTTCTTACTATGACTAAATACCTTGCTTATTTAGGAATAATTCCCTCCTAACGAACTATTTAAGGAAATAGAATAATTGAATGCCGGCAGAATTTCACAGCAGAAACTGGAGCATTTGGCTACTCAATGTTGATATCTGGAAGGCACTAACTTTAACTTCCTATTCGAAAATCTAACATGATGATGAGTCCAAGGAATGGACGTGTACCGTACATAAAACTCGTCTAGATAAGAAGCGCAAAGGAAGCTAAGTTATCTAACATCACATAATTGGGAGAAGCTAAAGCTAAATCCTAGTCAGAACAGTTCCGAGATAACCGAGAAACCAAATCGATTCAACTCCTAAAACTTAAACAGACTGTGTGGTGACTTATTTATGGAAACCTTTTGCTCATGTCCAATCAGCAGACTCCACATGCAGACTGTTTACCTGGGATTAACCACTCTCACCCCACGTCCTCTGAATGCAACTTTGTTTCCAAAAATGGTGTCACTTCATAACCTGAATCAGTCTTTATATGCGCTCACAGTCAAATTTGTCGGTTCATGAAAAAATGCCTTCGCCTGCAATGGAATTCCCCATCAGTAATACCCGTCGCCAAACTAACAATGCCAAATCATTGAGCGATTCAGCCCTTAGTGTTGCAATCAATAAATGGGACGGGGGGAGCTGAAATCTGAAGATTACAAACCTTGATAGGAGAGTGCGGAAACAGTGCGCACTAGGCACTCCTAAAGGAAACACCCTTCAGCTGGGACGAGCTACATTGCGTCTCCCATATGGAGAAGTGTTAATAAGGCATGTGAGATTCGGTGACTCCGCTTTCGGTATTTAACAAGTAAGCTTATAATTCCTTCACCTATTCTGTGCATGGTGAAGGCATAGAAAAACTTTGACGTTAAATTAACCTAACTGCAATTGCTTACTTTGCTCAGCTGTAAATTAGACTATTAAGTGCAGCAGATTAGAAGTATACACCCCAACATTCAAACATCACTCCCGATCTCTAAATCAAAAGCAGTTTTCCCTTAAAAGGCATCGTAAGGATAGCGAGTGCAATGAAATACTTCCCCCTATTTTCAAGAGAATGGAGTATTACTTTCTCAGACCGCTGAATTCATTAAAATTTTGCAGATACCTACCTCTCTGTAAGTGCGAGTTCGGTAGCCCCTTTTATTGCTAGGTTGTACAAGATCAAAACTTTGAACACCTGTTTATCGCGCTTTTCCTAAGGTAAATTTCAATATTGAGCCGTCCAAATTTCCTCTGGCTTTACTCCACTGATTCATATTGCTTTACTCATGAGTGTCACTCTCCAAAATTTTCGATATGGATTTTCACTCCCAATTACAAGCGAGCATCCTCCACTTTTCTATCGATTGGTTGGAGCAAGACCACCCACGCTCAAGTGCGTCTTCATTTGACAAATATCTAGCCTACGTTAGTAACTAGAATGAAGATGTTGATTCAAGTTGCTCTGTTCAGCAACGATGTCCGAGTCTTAAACTGGAATCTAGAAAAGCAAATGATTAGGTGTGCTTTATTTCTGGTTGGCTACCTCCACTGCATTTCTTTCTTTCCCATTAGAAGGAAGAAGTGGTTGGGAAGGCAGAGATATGTATGAGTGAGAGGCAAGTTGGAATTGATGGGGTGTCTGTGATAACAAAGGAAACGAGAATAAAGGAGTTAGATAAGCAAATAAAGAAAGTAGGTCAAGGCAAACGAGTTTCTTTCCCATATGACATTCAAGCCGTAGCCAAGGTTGCAGATGAAGGAGTAGGAGTGGGTGTTTGAGCACTGACCGAGTCTGCAGCGGCCTTAACCCCATAACAGGACAGGTGGTAATTTGAATTGCCAGCCACCACTCGCCTCGCTTCTTGGGAACCAGCTTCTGGAGCAATTGGCCGAGAACAGACTGCGCATCGTGGTGCATAGCGTTTGTGGAAGTCTTCCAGACAAAGAGGTCTGCCGTGCACATCAACTGTGAAGGGTTTTGCATCTAAATGTGTGTGACATACCGAGCAGACAAAGCATCCTGGATGGTAGGGGGCCCCAAGAGCTCGCACTATCCTCTCACCTGTAGAAGGAAAAAGATTAAAGCCTTATACACATCAATATCTATCTTTGGGTAGATATTATACAGCTTAAATTTAAACAGATGAAATGAAGAAAGTTTCTTTGATAATATTAACTATAATCTCCAAGTTTTTTTACAGATATGTAACAGATCTCAATTGCTTCCCTTCAGGGAAAAAATCGCACCTGCTGTGGGTTATAATAAACAAATAAAATATGAAAGTTAATACAGTCTAACGGTAACTCAAATGACATGCAAATCAAAATCCAATGAGAAAAAAAACTGCTGAGGTGGAAAATACTAAGTTGATTTATTTTTGAGAGCAGTTGGTTGTTTGCATATAGCAGTGGCGTTACGTCAAAATTGGAATTATTTAGATTGAAGTGAAATTGCTTAAGCCGAAAGCGCATTTTGAAGCGAATAACACTTTTCAACTCGATTTCGATTCGCAAAACCTTACATACAATAAAACGCAGATCATTAATAATGTATGGTATTAGTAGAATATTAATGAATACTTAATGACCATCCTCAGTTAACAGAGCCTGTTTCCTTTATCACTTGCCATCATCTCTTCCGGGGACGAGGAAATACATTAAAAGAACTCCACATCCGTAAATACTGGCAATTCCGAGAAAAAAATAGTTGGCCTAGGACTTAGAGGTGCGATGATTTATTTTCTCCTTGTTTATAATGGGAATACCAGGTTGTTAATTAGTTCCACATATCCAAAGAAGTGCATCAACACTCATACTTTCTCAATATTGAAGTGTTCGATCCAATTTACTCCTAATGGATAACCGTAGGCGTAGTGCTGCCTTATTGGGTATCCCAGAAACAGCCTGGATTACATTATTAACCACACACACTATCAAAATATATAGAATTATAATGCCCAAATAATCCATAAATATTTACCTATCGGTCTTCCGCAATTAACACACGACTCCACTTCGCCATCTCTAACACAGGTAGGACAAAGCAGACGATGTAGACTATGATAGTACCCTTGAGGATTGAGCTTGGTTCGGCAATTATAGCAAGTAAAACAGGTTTCGTGCAGTCTCACTGCAAGAGCTCCGGTCAAGGTCACAACAGGAGGGCTGGGTGATCCTGGACCAAGAGTAGCCGACTCAGGGGGTATCAGGGGTCGTCGACAGCGGAAACAGTTGTTCTGAAGGAAGGAATCGGTGATTCCACTGGATGCAGATGAGTTGGTAGGCGAGGAAGTGCGTGGACTGCTCACAGTGAGGGGACTTCCAGTGTTATTGTTGTTTGCTGTACTCGGAGAGCCGACTCTTTGTTGAGTACGTTGTTGAAATTGGATCATTCGCGATGGCAGAGTTGTCGCACCACCGCTTCCTCGTCGAATACTTCCAGCTAAGAAGAAAATTACCTTTCAAAACATTAGAATTAAAGTCGAATCCTTCTTCATTTTTACTTTTCCGCTTGGATCTTTATGAGTATAGGAAAGAACAATTTGCCCTACCTTAATACATATGAAAGCCTCATTCCGCCTATCTTCGCTAATGAGATGACTCAAGTCACGTCAAACTAACCCCCCTCCCCCAGTAGAGTCCCTTTCCATGCTAACCCATTAAGACCCATTGCTTCAGTCCGTCACTTTTTAATCTTGAGAAAACCAGATCCAGCAATTTGAACTTTCATTGAATTATAACCAGCAGTAATCCATTTTTGTTATGGAAAGCAATTGAAATCCGATTCGGGTAGCATTCAATGGACAATTTCCATCGTGCCGTGCGCATCGATGACACATTTATCTGAAATAAGCGGGTTGAAGAGGGCTGAAGAAATATAAGAGATGTAAGTCGCCTCTTTAAAGGCTAACCATTAGGAGACTTACAGTTTGGACAATCAAAAGGCGAAAATAGAAAAGAACTCGATCAAAAAAGTTAGACAAGAATATGTGAATTTCTTTTCTGAATACATTTTCGTTGTAGGCGAACTGTGACGAGTTTTCATGAAAAAAGTTTGATTTATTTCAATGAAACTCTTAGGTCAGTGGTTTATGTGGCTGACTTCTATTTGACAAGATTTTGACAACCATCTATGTGCATTCATGGGGTTTAAATGGTAAATAAAACTTATCTTTCCATGCCAAAAAATCTAGCGTACATAAATCTATTGCATAGACTGTGTGAAAATGAGAGAGGGATGGGAAGGCATTGGTGAATCGACCACCACAAATCTAACGATGGACTCTCAACCGCCAGAAGACTCTTCTATCCAGTAGATGTGTGATTCAAATATTGGGCAAATATGAGATGGCAACTGAATCACAGGAGACGATGGACGTTGATGCAAATCTGACCGACTTTCGAATGTAAAAAAGTTGGCCTGGAAACCCAGGAGCCCACTTGAAGTTGAGTGCCCTTGGCATTCTGGCCATTGGTCCTTTTGTCATCCCCCCC